CTCTCTCCTTTGGAGGGATTAGTGACCTTGCCCTATAAGGTAGAACTTTGAGATACACCTTTCCTTTGATGTTGAGTCCTTAATGGCATCCTTTGGAAGTCAGTGAGCACTGTAACATCCTCACCTCATCTTGTTGACTGAATCTTGTTTGCTGGAGCATTTGAGCCATTGAAGATAGAAGCTGAAGCTTTGAAGAGGATGATTCCTTGAAGATTGTTGAAGTCTGAAGACTTTGTGAAGATCAAGTTGATGCTTGAAGATCCCTGAAGATAGTGAAGCCTGAAGGTGGAGCTGATCAAAGAAGCTGAAGCTTAATGGAGAAGATGAGTTGATACTCATGTTGTAGGGTTGATACCTGGAAAGCAAGTGATTTCTGAAGTCTGAAGACTGGGTTGCTGCTGGAGGAGCTGAAGCTTTCTTCTGTTTTCCTTTTCTGTATTGTTTGTTTTGTCTGATTTGTGTGTTGCATTAGAATAAGCTCATCTAGAATAAGTTCAGTCTAAAAGCATGATTGCATTAGAGGTTGAGTTGCTCCCTCTGCTTGTATTGTTATTGCGTGGCTTTGCTTGCGGGTATTCGGTAGAGCCCAGCTCCCTTGCCCATGTGTTTAATTTGCTTGATAGCATGATTTCATTTCTTTTATCTGTATGACTGCAGTTTACCGTTTATTGCTTGATAGCATGTTGTTTATTTTTCAGTATGATTACTGTTATTTCATGACTGGCTTGAGGTCGAGACGAGCTTGTGGAGGCTGAAGCCCCACACACATTTCCTCCCTCACTTGCATTGCATGCATTTTACTGTTAAAGCTGATGCTTTGTCTGTTTTGGTGTATCATTGACATGATCCCTTAGGACTCTCATTTCCTTTGATAAGGATTTGATGATAGACTTTTAGGTTGAAACCTATGCATGACAACATCTAGGAGTTCCCTGTTCAAACCTCAACCATAGGATGAATCCATGGCATGATAACAGTAGGACTTGATAGTCTCCCTCCTAGTTGGGCCCGTTCTCTTCTCATCTCAAAACAGTTTAAGATACAGTAATCATGAATGATTTCTTTCGTACGTTAAGAGCCTTAAGCTATCTGAGAAAGGATTGTAGGAGAGCTTCTTTTCCACAGTCTGAATGTTTAGTATGGTACCCTTTGGGTGACATGCGACGCATTCACTCTCAGGTCATAGTCTCTAGTGCGGTTGAAATCGCAGATACAATAAAAAACCCTTCTTTTAGGAGATAACCCGTAGTTGCCCGAACTACGTTTGCTCTGATCTTCCATGCTGTGTGGAAGTACGTAGGCATAGGATGCGATATCCTAGCGAGCAACCTTTCCCCACCTTCACCCGTAGTTAGGCGAACTACGTTGACTCTGATTTCTCGTTCCAGACGGGAATACGTAGGCATAAAGTGCGACGCTTTGCCGAGTCATTTTTCTTTTCTTTTTCAGCCAGCCTTGATAGGTAGATAGATTATAACCAACCCGTCCAAGTAAACAAACGAGCGAGGATCCCGTCGAGTACGACGGACGTGAGGGGTGCTAATACCTTCCCCTTGCGTAACCGACTCCCGAACCCAGACAATGGTTGCGATGACCTTGTCTTACCCTTATTCGTCAGGTTTTTCCGATCGTTTCCTTTCCCGCTCTGAGGGATAAATAACGAAAGGTGGCGACTCTTCTGTCATGCCGGCACCTTATTTTCGCGCAAGCGACAGACCTAAAATGGAAAAAGATGGAAAATATCCAAACAATCCAAACACACATACATAATCACACACATTAATTAAGATAATAAGATTTCACACCCTTACCCGATTAATCGACTCCTAAGGGTTGATCTTGAGCTATCCAAGATTTTTCCTCTATTCTCCTCTTCTCTCTTCTTACTCTTTCTTTCTCTTCCTTTCTATTTCTATCTCTTTTCTTCTCCACTTTCTCATATATATATATATATATATATATATATATATATATATATATATATATATATATATATATATATATATATATATATATATATATATATATATATATATATATATATATATATATATATATATATATATATATATATATATATATATATATATATATATATATATATATATATATATATATATATATATATATATATATATATATATATATATATATATATATATATATATATATATATATATATATATATATATATATATATATATATATATATATATATATATATTCTATTTCTCTCTATTATATTTTCTTCTCTCAAAATATCTACCAATTCATTTCCTCACAAAATATCTCATCTTATCATTAATTGAGAAATATCTAAAATACTCTCCAACTTAATTTCCCAAAACTCCAAATGATAAAATAACATAATATGTCAACATAACATATTAACACATTAATTTCACAAATAAAATAATAACCATTCAATAATTCAAATAATTAAAATAACCCCAATAAATCAATTAAATAATAGAAATAACTAATTATTAAAAATTGAGCTGTTACAAATACGGCTGAAAAGACGTTTAAGGATTTATCATGATGGCGTGACGTCATAAGCGTGGGTTAAAGAAATTGAACAGTTTAGCCACTAAATGAGTAGTGGGTTGTTCAGTTAAGGCCATGCAATTTCATAGTCATATGCGTCAAAATGGTTATAAAAAATGACCTTCCTACCAATTTTGGTGAAATGACATTTCTTGGGGGCAATTTGTTGGCTCTCATTTTCGACGGCATCAAATCAGAGTCATCTCAAGTCAAAAATTATTTTTAAGCATAAGAAGGGTTCGACCCAGTTTTTGGTGAAGCCTGAGTCGAAGAGAGGTTGTGAAAACTTCTGAAAAAATTGTTAAGTGTTAGAAAGTCCCTCGACCATGAGAATGCTGAAAGAAGCGCGCTACAGTTACCACTAAGGTTGGAGGAAAATTCCTAATATTTGAATTTCAAAAGAGCAGTTGGCGAACGTGGGAATGATTGAAGTCAAGAAAAAGCGCCAAAAGACACGTTTTGAAGCAACAACCGTCACTTAGTAGTTATTTTCTAGCATTATAAATAGGGGTTATTTCCATAGAATAAGGGTGTTCATTTTTCTTGTACAAGTTACTCCAAATTACTCAAAGTACCCGCGTGTAGAGAAACGAGCTCGAGAGAATGTACGTGATGTGACACCATTTCTTTTCATCAATGCAATTTATGTATCTTTATCATTTGTATGCTGTTGTTTATTCCGCACTTTATCTTGCATGTTCTTCTTTAAACTTTATCTTTCATGTTTAAATGCCTTTTTTCTGAACTTTATCTTTCATATTTACACGTTCTTCCTTGAAACTTTATTTTTAATCTTTACTTTCAGTTGATTTTCTTATGCACTTTATTTTAACTTGCTATTTAAAAGTCTTTTTAATTGCTTTCGACTGTTACTTTACTGCATTTTTCTAAATATTTGTCTTCACACTTATTTTCTTGCACTTTTTATCAAGTTCAAACCTTTTACATTACTACTTTTACTTTCGACGTCTTACACACTTACTTTCTTGCACTTTTATCAAATTCAAGCCTTTACATCATTGCCTTTATTTTCAAAGTTTTTTACATCTTACCTTTTACTTTCGACGCTTTAAGAATTGCACCCTTTATTTTACAGTCTTGTCAATTTCTAACTTGTTTTTTACTTTACAAAGTTTTTATAGTCGAACATGGAGTTCCTTTAGAACATAGTCGAACGTGGAGTTCAATTTAGATTTTCTTTTAAACTTAACACATGTCCTAGGATTTGTATGGTCGATCCTGCAAGTTACTTAATTTCACCCAAAGTTGATAGACCAGAGGCTGTATACCAAATTTCACAGGAAACAGTAAGTCTCATGCCATGTGCTTGAGTAATGAAAGTCTTAATCAAGTAGATTGATTGAGCAAGTTGGTTTGGTTTATAAAATTTGGAGCGTAAGTCTTGATCTTGAGGGGTTTAAACAGGGACACTCATTTCATGGAACTTAGAGCATAAGTCTTGTGTCAGTGTGGCTTGAGCATGTTGACTCGATTCATGAAATTTGGAGCGTAAATCTTGAATCTAAGGGGTTCAAGCAGAGAGACTCGTTTCATGGAACTTAGAGCAAAAGTTTTGAGTCTGTAGGACTTGAGCAAGAAGTCTTGGACCCAAGGTTTGAGGAATGTAAAAGACTTATGCAGAATGCATAAATGATTGTAATCATGTTTTGTTTATAGTGAAGGGAGAAATCAATATAAATCTTTGTGTCTTCTGTTATTATTTATTTGATTCTGTTAACATCCGCTGCTAAGTATAATCAGAATCTGAACACCAGTTCAAATTCTAAACTCTGATCAGACGCAAAATTAAAAAAACTAAAAACACAATTCAACCTCTTGTTGTGCACTTTTCGCACATCCATCAATAAAACCATTGTAAAAGGTGAATATTCATAATTAAACCTAAGACCCTGCATTAAAAACCATAATGAATAACTAAATTGCAAAATTCATTTTCTCTTTTCTATTCCTTTCCACTTTTCTTTTCTATTACTTTTCATTTCTCTTTTGTAACATTTGTTGGTTGCTATTGAAAAATACTCTACTTTTGAATTGGTCTTGTCATCTAAAAATTATGGATTTTAGATATGAATCATGTTATACACCGAATTAATATCTAAATTCTCCCTCTTTAAAATATTAATAAATAATGAAAACAGCAACCGGCACACTTTAAATTAAAAATATAGAATATGAATAATAAAATAAAAAATATGATAAAACTGAAATTGGGACGAGGGTCAAGAAAAGCAATATTGCTAGTCAAGTCACGTTACTACAAGTCCAACCAAACATTCCATTCTCCATTCCATTGCATCCTATTAATTGCAGGCACACTACAGAAAACAAGAAGCTTGGAATCTTCGTTTCTCTCCCTTGCACTTCTTCTTCTCCCAATCCAACAAACCCTATTTTACTTCCTTCCCATTCCACCCCACAATTTCCTTCCTCAAATGAAACTCTTCTCTCTCTTCCGCATTTCCTTCCTCCTCTTCATCCTCCATCAACACTCCTCCGTCAACGCCATTTCTCCCACTTCACGTTCCCTTCTCTCCCTTCCTCCGTCAGTTTCCTCAACTCTTTCTCTTTTCTTTCATTTTCTTTCCATGCAACATTACGTGTGTTTATGGCTATGCCATGAAATAAGCTCTAATTAATCTTTTTGTGAAACGATTTTCTTGACAGTAAGCCAGAAACAGCGCTGATTGCTACACTAGATGGGACGTTGTATTTAATGGACACTCAGGAGAATGGTTCCATGAGGGTCATATGGTCATTCTCCACCGGATCGCCGATCTACAGTTCGTATCAGGACTTTGGTAAAGAAAATAATGCATCAGCAGCACCGGTTAGCGGCGTCGTCGAGTGCGGGGATGATTGGTCTTTGTACATGCATGACAAGCACTTTGGTAAAATGGTATTTGTTTTGTTGTAGATTATGTTACTTTCAACTTGCATTGTAATTGTAATTGTAATTGCAATTCCGAGCTTGATGTTCGGTTGATTGTTTATTATGTCTGCAGAGAATCTCAGAGTCTATTGCAGAATTTGTACTTCGTACACCTACGATTTCAGACGATGGAGCTGTTATACTTGGATCCAAAGAAATCAGTTTATTTGAAGTAGATGCTAAAACTGGATCGATCATTCAAATCCACGCTAAGTCAGATGCTGGTAATATTTTTGCACCTTTGAGTGATGCTAGGCAGCGCGTTAGAAATATCACCAGGGCTGATCATAAGGATTTAGCTGATGCTATGAAGCTAAATTTGTCGCAGACGCTGCTTAAGATTTTTAGGACAGATTATTCTCTGCGGTCTGTTAGCCCCAACTCAGGAAGAGTATTGTGGAATTTGACAGTAGCGGAATTCGAGGCTGTATTATTATGCGAACATACTACATTTGATGTCGAGGATGAGTATCTTTCTGACAATGGACTCAATTTTGCGATGCCTTATCCATGTCAAGAGATGCAAAACGTCATTCGTGTGAAAAAGAAATTTCTTTTAGAATCTTTAATCACTGAAAGTTTACTTGGGGCTTTTCAAGAAAGTGATATACTTTCGGTGGCCGCCTCAGATTTGATGATTCCATTGCAACCTAGTATGGATAGACTCCGTGAGCCTCTCATTGAGATTACTTCACCGGGTGATGTTTATTTGTACAAGAAGAGTGGATGGTCAACTCCATTATCTAGTATGTTGTTTACGGTTTTTCTTTTGGTGTTGGGTTTTTCACTCATATGCTTTCTTCTAGTGAAGGTGATTAAGAATCAAGATATACCAAAGGACCAAAACAGAGGGTCTGGATTGAAAAATTCACCTGCTAAGAGAAAGAAAACACACAAGTCAGGAAAGAACCGCAGCACTACCGATAAAATGGAAAAACATCTTACTTCAGAAGATGAAGATGCGCTGACTCGAAAGGATGCTAATGGAGAAGCATGGAAGACCTTAAATCAAACTGATGAAGGTGCTAATGGACGGAGAATTGGTAAATTATTCGTTTCAAATGAAGAGATTGCTAAGGGAAGCAATGGTACCATTGTCCTTGATGGAAGATATGAAGGCAGGCCAGTTGCAGTCAAGCGTCTTGTCAAAGCTCATCACAGTGTAGCCTATAAAGAAATCCAAATCCTCATTGTGTCTGACCGTCATCCAAACATTGTCCGATGGCATGGGGTGGAGTATGATCAAGATTTTATTTACCTTGCACTGGAACGCTGTACTTGCAACTTAGACGATTTGATTCACATTTATTCAGATATATCAGAAAATTCCACTTTTAGGAAGGACCAAGCACTCGAACGGTTGATAGAAGGAAAAATGGAGACAAGAAAGCATGACACACAATATCTTTGGAAAGAAAATGGCTATCCGTCACCTCTATTACTGAAATTAATGAGGTTGATATATAATTTCTTCTTGATTTATGATTTATTAAAGGACATACTCAACCAAAAGATAATACTAATAGAGATATCTCATTTCTCCCTCATTCAACACTGTAAAAATGAGGTTAGTGAAGGCTATTGGACCAGGTTGAATTCTTGAAATTCCTAGTTGAAGTTGGCGTTTTATAAGTTGGCAGAACTCTACCTATAGCAGTCTCCTAGATTTTGCTGACTAGTGAGATACCTGATGCTTAGAGGAGTGATACATTGCATTGTGGAGAACCGGGGTGGAGTCTTTAAGAACTTGCATGCACTTAATGTTTATTAACTTTTATAGTTTTAACACTGTAGCTTTGGGAAATAGTTAGTAAATATAGTTTGAGATTAGAAGTAATGGTTTTATACTGTAGCTTAGTTTTAGGCTTGGCAAATGTAGTTGGAGGAAAGCATTATAGTGAATAGGAAAGGGTGATTAAGAAAAAACCTATTTAGATTCCATTTGGATTCTTGTAGTTGATCCAAGTCATTTGAAGTTGAGAATTGAGATAAACCTTCAATCAATGAAAGCTGCTCTTACTTGGATGCCCACATTCTAAGTGTAGTTTATTTTGCAGATTTTTATTATAAATTGTAACTAACTTCCGTTTTTGTTTTGCAACTTAGGGATATTGTTTCCGGGGTTGTTCATTTGCATGAACTAGGAATAATACATCGAGATTTGAAACCCCAAAATGTTCTAATAAACAAGGAAAGATCCCTATGTGCGAAGCTTTCTGACATGGGCATTAGCAAACGTCTTCTTGAAAATATGTCCTCTTTGGGTCATAGTGCTACTGGTAAGAACTCCTCAGAAGAAGGAATGGATATAGAAAACATTAAGCCAAACAGGCTCTTAGGAGTTGTTTCCTAACTTTTGTTTTCTTTTCAAATCTGTTTCCATATTGATTCAATCTCATGTTATTCAAAGGCTTATTTTACTTTATTCAGTCTATTGTTTTAGTACTAAGGCTTAATAGCTTAATTGCAGGTGGGGGCAGTTCAGGTTGGCAAGCCCCAGAACAGCTTGTTCAAGAATGTCAAACACGAGCTGTAGATATATTCAGTTTAGGTTGTGTTCTTTTTTTCTGTATGACTAGGGGAAGACATCCATTTGGACAAAATCTTGAACGTGATATCAATATTGTGAAAAATCAAAAGAATTTATTCTTAGTTCAGTTCATCCCGGAAGCTGAGGATCTTATTAGCTGTTTATTAAACCCTGACCCTAATCTAAGGTAAATCGTTATCATTCTTTGTGTTTTTGGAGGATGGAAATATATTTTCTCATACCTTCACAGCGTTGCATCTGCTGTGACTTGCTTAGTTCTGATGTTTAAAATGATCAAGGCTCAAAGTTCAAACCAACATACTTATTGTGGATAATAAATTAAGATGTAAGAGTGTTGCCCTATTATGATAATCTCTAACGGTCAATCTTTTGCAGTTTTATTTGTGTTTTTATTGATCTGCTGATTTCAGGAGGCCTTTTTTAAGCCAAGATTTAGATTTATTGTAATGTGTTAAAATTGAATTTATGCTATTGTGTTATAATTTCATGAAATAACTAAGTGTAGGAGAGATGTGGATGTTGCGCTGGATGTATTGTAAGACTAAACTAGGTAGAATTAGAAATGACAACATTAGAGAAAGAGAGAGTTGGGGTTGCTTTATCACTTTCAAAAGATCAGAAACCTGTGATAGCATCCTTCAGTTCTGATTAGAGGGACTGCGTGATAGCTCCTAGAAGCCTAAAGCCTTTTGGTAGAAACCTGTGAATGGTGTTATGCAACAACAACCGAGTTTTATCCCATAAGTGAATATTGTTATATCTCTATCTTTATTATTTATGATTCTGGTTTCAAACTAGCAATTTCATTTAAAAAATTATTTCTTTTATTGCCAGGCCGAAAGCGATTGAAGTGTTGCACCATCCTTTTTTTTGGTGTTCCGAGACAAGACTTTCATTTTTACGTGACACCAGTGACAGGGTGGAACTGGAACATAGAGAGATTAGTTCTGGTCTTTTGTGGGCATTAGAAAACACTGCCACAACAGCCTTAGGTGGTAAATGGGATGAAAAGATGGAAGCAGCTTTCATTGCTAACATTAGTCGTTACCGGCGCTATAAGTTTAACAGTGTTCGACACTTGTTGCGGGTTATGAGAAACAAGCTAAATCATTATGGAGAATTGCCACAAGAAATCCAGGTTCTTACTTGGACTAGTAGCATTTAATGTATTTTCTCTCTTTGTTGTTTTTATTGAGTACTTGGCAAAACAACGGGTAGGGGTGGGTTTTGACCTATGAACACCTCTAGGAATAGGCATATGTCACAATGTGCGACACGCGTCGGTGTCTGACACCCGTAAGACACCGTTAAGACCAATTTATACAGAATCAACTCTCAGTATTTAAATCTAAACCCGTGATACACTGTCCATATAAAAATCAAATTCCTTACAAGTTACAACCCATAAGATGGATGGTTTATGACAAAAATGCTCAAAGCAGCATTCCAAAAGTTTACACGGTAGAAATAAAAACAAGCCCAGTATAAGCATTAATAGAATAACAGTTTTGAATTTCAAGCCTCACACCTATTATATCTGTGTACAAGTGGAAGTGTTGGCTATGGATTAGTCTTGCCAGCTCTTTCTCATCATATTTTCAAGTCACATCAGAAAAATCTGAAAATTTTTAGCTTCTCATTGGTTGCCTTTCCAATTCATTCCCTAGCTTGTTAGAAGTTATATGACCTATTCCTTACAACAACCCTCACTTCATTGCCACACAGGCATTCAAGCCAGCTTTAGTGTTTTTTCCTCTGCGGACTTTTCCTCTTATAGCAGTGATGTTTCACTGACTTATTATTATTAATCCATTACGATTGTGAATAAAACCAATTATCTCATTCCCCCTTTCAATCCATTCTCTTACACCTTCAACATAACATATTCTCTTTATTAGAATATTAAGGGCATGTTTAGAAGAGTTTATTAAAAGCTGTTGTAATTTTATTCCTCAGCTAAAGGCTGGTTTATATAATGAGAATACAATAAGAATACTTAATTCTCTCCTTAATAGAGAATAAAAGAAAATAAATGACAATAAATATAAACAATTAAATATGAAAATAAAATATTTTTCGACACCCCCCCTTAAGTTGGTGCATAGATATCTATCATGTCCAACTTATCTATCAAATGCTCAAAGGTAGGTTTCGTCAAACTTTTGGTCAAGATATCCGCAGTTTGCTGACTTGAAGTCACAAAAGGTAGACATATGATTCCAGCATCTAACTTCTCCTTTATGAAGTGTCGATCAATCTCAATATGCTTGGTTCTGTCATGTTGAACTGGATTATGAGCTATGCTAATAACAGCTTTACTGTCAGAGTACAATTTCAATGGAAGCTCAACTTTCACTTTAAGTTCTTCTAAGACTCTAAGGATCCATAATCTTTCACAAATACCTTGAGACATAGCTCTAAACTCTGCACTACTCCTTGCTACAACGCCTTATTTCTTGCTCCTCCATGTTACAAGATTACCCCAAACATAGGTACAATATCTAGAGGTTGATCTTCTATCGGTGACTGAACCTGCCCAATCAGCATCGGTGAAGATAGACACATTCCTTTCACTAGTCTTCTTAAAAAATAATCTTTTTCCAGGATTTCCCTTCAGATATCTCAGTATCCTATAGACTGCCTCCAGATGTTTTTGGAAAGGAGAATGCATAAACTGACTCACTACACTAACTGAGAAAGCAATATCAGGTCAGGTGTGTAACAAATAAATCAGTTTCCCAACCAATCTCTGATATCTTCTTCCAGTATCAACAGGAACATTACCTTCTCCCCAAAGTTTAGCATTAGGATCCATAGGGGTATCTGCAGGACGACATCCACTCATTCCTGTTTCTTTCAATAAGTCTAGAATGTATTTCTGCTGTGAAACCACATTACCATTCTTTGACCGAGCAATCTCCATGCCTAGAAAATATATCATGAATCCCAAGTCTTTGATTTCAAAGCCTACTGCCAATTTCTCTTTTACCCTTGCCATTTCCACTGTATCGTCTCTAGTAAGGACAATGTCATCAATATAAACAATCAGAACAACAACTTCCCCATCGTTGGAGAATTTTGTGAATAAGGTGTGGTCAGCTTGTCCTTGAATGTACCCTTGATTCTTCATGGACTGAGTGAATTTTTCAAACCAAGCTCTGGGAGACTGCTTTAATCCATACAAAGACTTATTTAGTTTACATACATTTGATCCAAATTTGTTTTCAAAACTAGGAGGAATGTCCATATATACTTCTTCTTCTAAATCACCATTAAGAAAGACATTCTTAACATCTAACTGATGTAGGGGCAATCCAGGTTAGCAACAAGAGATAAAAGAATTCTTATAGTGTCCAATTTTGCAACAGGAGCAAATGTCTCTGAGTAGTCTATACCATAGGTCTGAGTGAAGCCTTTAAGCCACCAAGCGAGCCTTGTACCTTTCAATTGACCCATCTGAATTATACTTCACAGTAAACACCCATTTGCATCCAACTGTCTTCTTGCCATCTGGTAGCGACGTAACACTCCAAGTTTTGTTCTTTCCAAGAGCTTTCATCTCCTCAAGTACAACTTCCCTCCACTTTAGAATTTCTAGAGCAACCTGTACACTTTTTAGAATTTCTACACTAGACAATTTTGAGGTGAAGGCAGACATAGATTATGACAAATTTGAATATGAAATAAAATTGGACATGGGGTGTTTAGTGCAAGATCTGATAGGCTTTCTAATGGCAACAGGATCATCTATATCAGGATAAAAATACGACTCTCAGAAGCAGAGATAGACTTACCTTTCATTTTGTTAGAAGGTTGATCATTCCCCAGTTCAGATTCCTGACAGTGTTGAGATGTGGACTTTGCCCTTCGTTTATGGTGCTTTTTCATAAAAACCTTCCCTTTCCAAGTCCTGTTTCCTAATTCGAATTTGTTTTCTTGAAGTGACTCATTATTTTGTGGCATTTCAATTAGATCATCATTATCATCGTTTTCAGGATTCTCATTGTTTTCTACAAGAGAAAATGTAGGCTCAGATTCACAAGGTTTCTTACTCATAACAGGAGTGAGATCAGATACAGAATCATGGCCATTTTCTGTTGGTACAGATGTAAAAGTCTCAGAATTTTGTGGTATAGGCAAAGATAAATTTTTCAAAAAACTCATGTCCTCAATTTGAAACGAGTCTTCCTTTATCTCCCCTCTTGAAGATGAGTGTCATCAAAGAAAGATTTATTTTTAAAAAATGTAACATTCATAGTGACAAACATTTTCTTGTTTTTTGGATCAAAACATTTATATCCTTTTTGGGTTGAGGAGTATCCAACAAAGACACATTTTATAACACGTGGCTCAAGTTTTCCAACATTTTTATGTTCATGAACAAAAGTTGTGCAACCAAAGAGTTTTAAAGTCAAATCAGTTAAAATACGAGTACTAGGAAAATATTTTTTGAAGACATTAATTGGAGTTTGAAAATTGAGAATTTTGGAGGGCATTCTGTTAATTAAATACATAGCTGTTAAAACAGTTTCGCCCCATAAATAATTTGGTACTTTATTCGAAAAAAGTAGGCTCTAGCAACCTCCAATAAATGTCTATTTTTCCTTTCGGCCACTCCATTTTGTTGAGGAGTATTAGAACATGAACTTTGATGTACAGTCCCATTTTTTAGAAAAAAAATCATCCAGGATAATGTTAAAATATTCTTTGCCATTATCACTTCTAAAAACTTGGATATTTGTTTGAAATTGGTTGTGCACCATTGAAAAAAATTCTTTACAGCCTGGCAAACATCTGATTTTCCCTTTAACAAGTACACCCAACATACTCTTGTATGGTCATCTATAAATGTGATAAACTATTTTTTGAGAGAGAGTGTACTAGTACGGTTAGGGCCCCCAAACATCACTGTGAATAATATAGCAAACGCTTTTGATGGTTTATAAGGATGTATTGAAAAGTGGGAACGATGATGCTTTGCAAACTCACATGCTTCACATTTAAACGAAAAAAAAAATATTATTGTGAAATAATTTAGGAAATAAGTGTTTTAAATAACGAAAACTAGGATGACCTAATCTTAAATGCTATACCATACTGTTGTCATCTTTATTATTCAAAATAGAAAAAGACTCAAAGCAGGAACTTATTGTTAAAGGTAGTTGTGATGCAGATCCAATGTCAAGGTAGTAGAGTTCTCCACTCTCCTTAGCACTGCCAATCATCTTTCCCGAGTTCAAATCCTGACAGACACAGTGAGATCGAAAAAAATTAGTTTGATAATTTATATCTTGGGCTAATTTACTGACGGACATTAAATTACACGATAAGTTTGGAACATGAAAGACATTTTTAAGAGTTAATATTGGAGACAACACAACTGACCCTTTACCTGCAATGGCTGAAAAAGAGCCATCTGCAATTTTTATTTTTTGATTACCTGCACATGGACTATATGAAGAGAACAAAGTAGATTCACCTGTCATGTGATCAGAGGCACCTGAATCTACTATCCAAGTATGACTAGGACTAACACTAAGAAGTGCAGAATTACCTTTTGTTGCTATAGAGCAAGAACGGGTTGGAGACTCGAGGAGTTTGTACAGTCTGTCTAGTTGTTCTGTAGTAAATGGAAGCTGAGTTGTAGGGGATTGCTGCCCTTGATCAGAATTACTAGCCTGAAATGCACGACCACCTTTCTTCTTCCAGTTCGGAGATTTGCCTTTGAGCTTCCAACAGGTTTCACGTGTATGCCATTCGCACTTCCAGTGATCACACCAAGGAACTTTATCTGACCTTCTTCCCTCGTCAAGGTTCCTAGTAGTCAGAGCTGAACCTTCAGATTCAGAGCTTCGTGGTGTCTTGCCTATCATAATTCCTTGTCGTGCCTCCTCCCTTCTTATTTCTACAAAAGTTTCACGAAGAGTTGGCAATGGTATTTTTCCTAAAACTCCACCTCTTACCTCATCAAGGTCTTTATTGAGCCCAGCGAGAAACATGAATACGCGACCATTTTCTTGCCTCTTGAGAAACAAAACACTGTCTTCTGTACACCTCCAATTGTCATCATAACAAAGATCCAACTCTTGCCACAGTGTCAACAGCTCATTGTAATAAACGGTTACACTCCTGCCACCTTGTCTCGCATGCCATAACTTTGATTTTAAACCAAATATTTGGGAAGAGTTTTGAATATCAGAGTATGTTTCCTTAACAGCTTCCCACACATCCCTTGCGGAAGGCAAAAACATGTAAGGCTTACCTATTCCAGTTTCCATGGAGCTTACCAGCCACGCAATAATCAAAGAGTTTTCAGATTTTCATTGTTTGTAACGAGGATCTCCTGATGTCGGTTCAGCTACTGCTCCGGTTAAGAAATCAAGTTTCCCTTTGCTATCCAACACCAATCGAACGGTTTGAGCCCATTCATTATAGTTATTCCCATTCAGTTTAGGGATATTGACCTTGAAGGAGTATGAGGAACCCTCTTGATCATTACCGCTTATGTTGGAATAACTATCACTAAAGACAATGTTCCTGTTTCCATTGTTGCCGTTATTACTGCCAAAAACAATGTTAATGTCTTCATTATTGCCGTCATTATTGCCACTGTAATTTTATTCCTCAATCAAAGGCTGGTTTATATAATGAGAATACAATAAGAATACTTAATTCCCTTAATTCTAGAATAAAAGAAAATAAATGACAATAAACTTAAACAATTAAATATGGAAATAAAATATTTTTCAACAGTTAAGTTGATGAAGATAGTTTAAAATTGTTGGAATTTTTGCCTTCATTGCGGTGTACCCCTAGTCACCTTAATTGTGGCATTTGCCTTGCCTTCATTGCATCCTACAACACCTTCATTGTGTTGGGTTTGAAGGGGTGAGTTTAATCCAACATTGATTAGAGTTATGATCTGTGTTATGTTTATAAGTGGGGGTAATCCTCACCTAATAAGCTGGTTTTGCAGGGATGAGTTAAACCAAACCCAAATTCTGAGAAAAATAATAAAATATACCCATAAAAGAATGCTTCCAAAATTAGAGGTATGGAAATACCTCAACTAACATGTGAGGACCCTGAAAAGTATATGTACCTAAAACTATAATTGTTCTTGTTTCAGAAGCATTTCATATGAAAAAGGAAGACTGATAACTCATGCATAAGTTGTACACCTTTACTCTAAGATACGAAAGCTATTCATCCATATCCTTGGCTTCTAATTTCTCATTGGCTTTTCAGGAACTAGTTGGACCTGTTCCTGAAGGATACAACGACTACTTTGCAAGCCGATTCCCAAGACTCTTGATTGAAGTGTATAATGTCATATGCAAGTATTGCAAGGAGGAAAAATGTTTTCAAAGGTATTTTAAAAATGATGCTTAGTGCCTTGTCCTGCTCCATATGGCCTAAAAATAGATCATATAGGAAAGACTGTTGCAGCATGAAGCAGATTATGTAGATATTTAATAAAAAACAATGATATATGTGTCAGTGTATTTATATTGTTATCGATCAATCTGAGCTGCGCCAATTTACTACAAATTTTATAATCAAATATAATCTCCAAAGGTTTTAACATTTAAACTGAATAGGTCAATTTATCATGCAAAGCCAAGTTAAGACACTTGAGCAATCATTTTGAATTTCTTTCTACCCTCTCGGAACTTAAAAATACCAGATACCTAACAATCTACTATGTTGAGTAATATCATCTGTTATGCTACAATCAAAGAAATGGAGCCACCAATTGGTCTATTTCATTTTAAATAATTATGTGATGATTTTGTTCTAAATTATATATACTACAGAAACCACAAGTAAGAAATTGAAAACGGATCTTGTTCTAAACCCCTATGTTACACTACAGTCAGACACAAGTTGATATATCCTACAAATATATTTACTGAGAAGGTAAAAGAAATGCAGTAGGAACCCAGCAGTTACTATAGTTATTGTAGATTTGACTGCAGTGGATCCAAAGTCATTAGTGTACAAGAAGTGGCAACAGTTGGTTATACTTCAGAATCAATTCTGTTTAACGATGACTGAGAAAAATCTTTGTTGGAGACTATGGTTGTTCCAACCTCACTCGTGCTTCTATATGATATTCTTTCCATTTGCCTTCTCTTGGAACGGTTCTTAACTATCTCTTCTTTTTCATCTACAAATGAAAGAAAAGTCCGCAGACGTGAAGATCCCGAACCTTGTCCTGTAGACTCAAGTTCATCTGGACTGTGCTTCTTGTACTGCCTCAGGGTCTGAATAAGATATATCAGAAGAGCCAGAAAACATGCCAAACCACAGACTAGGTAAAGTCCCCAAAAGCTTTTGAGGTTGAGTCTGTCCAGTTCAAGCTTTGCACCTTGTGATCGACAAGCACTGCTCAAAAGCCATTTGTCATGGATCCTTTGTAAATCTCCATTTTCTGCTAACTCCAAAATGGCAGTTGATAGGTCAACTGCTAATGGCGAGTCTGGTGGAAAGGCCTGTAGAAAAATGGATTACGAGAAATAGAGAAAAACTACTATATCAGTTGAGAACTTTGAACAAGGGAACCAAAATAAACTGCAAAGTTCAAGCACTAAAAAGACACCAAGTGCTATGTGTATGGAGATACTTACAAATCCCCAACCATTTTTGGTAAACTCTTGACCTACAATGGTAAAATCACACCGGCTTGAAAGGAAGAGCTCTATGTAAGCACGCTCGTTAATGTACGCAGCAACACCACCCTTATGGGGACCATTTTCCAGCGCTTTCGCAGTCTCTTCAGGTGTTTTTAGAGGAACTAGTCTAGATTCATGAATACCGATTTCGTCAATCAAATAGGATCGGGCAAAAGAGCCCTGCAAGTAACCAATAGGATCTTTCGTATTTACTAAACTTTCAATGCCTTTAATAGGTGAAGAAAGTTGTTGCACTGTGAGGATTGAAGTCAGGCTTGCGGTGTAACTCGAGTTGATTATTAGAACTACAAATAGCCATATAAGCAGCACAAATCGACCAAGAGTGCTCACTGTGTTTTCCCCTACATTGTAAGGAAAAGAGAAAATTCATTTACTTGAAGTCGACAAAAGGCGCCACAGAAGACAGAAATGACACTTACTGTGAGCAAAGAACATAGTTGAAAAAGTAAACCTGCAGAATTGAACACAAATATAAGTTACAAACATGGATATATCAGGAAATTTTAGTCGAAAAACTATAACATTGATACATATGATTATTGCATGCATCAGAAACATAGGTAGGGTTCCAACAAGGTTCAATATGTTGAGCCTGAGAAAAGTGAGGAGATAGAGAAAGACCGGATTTGATTACCACAAAATTGTGGCGACTTGTTTTTTTGGAGGTCCCCTAAAATCATCATTCAGTCTATGTTCTAGAACCCAGACAACTGCACCAACTAGTAGGAAAAAGATAGCTGTTACAGTCCACATCATTGGTGTAAATGGTGTCAAAAATGCCCAAGCATTGGAATCCGTCTTCTTAACCGATGCTACGACCACTAGACCAGACTCTGTATATGGCTGAGTAAAATCAACCATCTTTGTTCTCTCTGTCGTAATTGTAATGTCTCCTACTGCAGCATCAAAAACCTAAATGGCAAAGATAAAAAGTGGTCTCAGAGATGTAGCATAAAACATCCAAACTTTCTGAAAAACTGTTGGAATGGTACTCACACCGGCCGTGATCAGACGCACAAGCTCAGTGTTGCTAGGATTGCTTTGACCGTCACCGTATGGAACAAACTTATAGGGGACAGCATAGGGTAACAAGTTTACTGCAGAAAGAAACACATCAATGCAGAATCCCTTGAACATGTCAGTGGATTGTACCTGAGAAACAAATTCGCGGTAACTAACCCTTTTTGGTACTCCGATTCTTAACAGCTTTCCATTGCTTGGAAAAACCCAACCGCGGGGTGTTTGGGTTGTTTCTCCCGGCCAAAACACAGTGAGCAGCTTTTGGTTTTCATAGGAACGGTTAGGTGGTTTTGAATAAAGTGTTTCTGGAGGAACAACCGATAGTCCGGAGTAATTAGACCAATACCCGATCCTGCGAGTACCTGATCCGATCACATTGATGATCTCATATGCTGGATTAGCAAGGTTTCCATCAGGAGTATACCTGAATGGACCCGTTACACCAGTCATGTTTACAGCATAAATGCTTTTACACAACAGGTTTCCTTCATTGAAGATTTTCACGGCATCTAGATGCAAGCTGTCTCCACGTAGTTCAGATATCTTCGGATCATGCGAAAATGTAATTTGGTTCCCTTGTTTCAAAAATGTATCAAGGGCGCGAGCAAGCACGTAAACAGTATCATACGCAAAGATACCGTAAGTACTCAAACCAAGAGGACCGTTTCCCTGCTTTCCTCTAGTCAAATTCGTCCACCTAGAAACAAACGATCTTTTGAGCTTCGAATCTGGTATGTACATTCTTAGTGCAATGACTCCTTGAATGTTATCCATTTCATCGGAAGAGAGTGGACTATCTATGTCGATATAAGATGTGAGAAAAGTAGTAGCAATCCAAACATAACCGTTTTGCATCATTCCAAGAGACTTTGCAACACTCAACACTTTTGGACCCCAAGAAGTACTTGTGTGAAGAACTATAACCCGAGATTCTGCCAAAGCCACCTGAACAAGAATGTCAGTAATCTCCTCCCTCTTTGCATCAGGAGTCATCGGTGCTTTAAACGATATCTTGCAACGTCTCTCAGCAAGCTTATCCGCTAATGCACCAATTCCGTTCCTCCCATGGTCATCATCCCCGTAGACCACGATAACCTCTCTCCAACCGTAGTGGCTAACCATGTCTGCTATTGCAGTCATTTGAAAAATGTCATTGAAAGCAGTTCTAATGAAGAACGGGAATTGAAGCGAGGAAAGAGTAGGATCTGTGGCTGAAAACGATAACAGAGGAACATGGAGCTCATTTGCTATATGAGATATGACATGAGCGGTCGTAGATGTCTGCGGACCGATAATGGCCACAGTGTGTGTCGCCATGAGCTGCAACGCTGTTTACAACGTATTCAATACAATAATCATAATCTGTAAGACTTGAAGTAAGTTCTATACCCGAAAACAAACTCACATGTCAAACAGAAAAAAGTACCTTCAGCAATACTCAAAAAGCCTCTGTATTTTGAATCTTCTTGAAACGAGAGCTTCAACTTAGTTTTACCAAGAATAGTAGAATCAGAATTTATATCGTCAACCGCAGTTTGCACTGCAATTTTCACTATTCTACCAACACTAGTATTAAAAGAGTAGAGAACCCCAATATTTAAAAACTCAGGCGCCGTCGAATTCTCCGAGCCAACCGCAGCAGAAGAGAACAACAAATTGGAGAGAGCCATCAACCGCACAAGCCAAACTCTAATCATGGTTTCAATCACCCTGCTCAAGAAACAAATAAAGCAACACCTTGATATAACAAAAACACAGATGCAAAGCACATAGCATACTCAAAACCAAAGTGGAAAAGAAGAATAAAGCAATAAAGTGGCTCTCAATATTATATAAAAAAGTATCAAAATTGGAGCCATAACAGTTAACAGCATGTGAAACCATGACTTTAGCAGATTAATGTACCTAAAGTTTGGTCAGCAAAATGATGCAGAAAACTTGATGTTGTGTTCAAGTTGAGCATAAAAAAAAAAACTTTACATGTACCCAGATAAAAAAAAGGTGTCAAGTTTAAGCTGAAGCAGTGTTGAATGATTAGGGTATAGTTTTGGAAACCTGGACAGTAAGAAAAAGTTAGATCTTAAAAAGGGTTAATGTAAAAGCTGTAGGGGAAATATGTATTGAATGATTGGTGGTACCCACTTGGAGATAGATAGTGCGTTTCATTTTCAGATAAGGCATATAGCATCTATGTTTTTGGAACAGTAAGGAATTGTTCCTTTCACTCGAAGACAATATAGGAGAATGCCACTGGAAACAAATTCATAAGCAAGAATCTGTTGTCTGTGATATGAACTTGTGTGTGAAAACGACAAGAGAAGTTGCCATGAAGTTGGTGTCAATTGCTGAATTCAATGTTGATAAAATATTTTGGTGGCGAACAGATTTTATTATTATAATAGTATTGATAATCAAAGTGAAATCTAAGGTTTATGTATGGTTGGATCTTCTGACAGTCTTAATTAAGGTTTCATTTTCAACCATAGTTCACTTTTTTTCAGCAAAAAATTTTAAGTCCGAAAATGAACTAATCTATATGAATCGATCCGCTACTACATAAAACATAAGATTTGAGCTTTTAAAAGATATTTTTTAATCTAGTCTTAAAAAATCCGTTATCCATTAAATTTAGTCTCATGATTTAGTCTATTTAATCTGTAAAATTACAAATTTAATATTTAAAATAAAAGGGCATTAGATTCAAGACAAATTTTTAGTTCAAAATATTATAATCAATCAATTTAAGTGCACAACTATTTGGTGCTTATAAAATATAACAGTAAAAGACGAGGTTGTTATGTTTACACAAAAAATGTAACATTGTATGTTTACACCCTATGAAATACAGCATATGGACCCATGTGTTTGTTTGTGTTAGAACAAAGAAAAACAATAATGATTAAACATTTGAAAAAACAAAACCGTATACGATGTACGTGTTACCTTCAATGTAAAAATAACATTTCTGGTAGAAGAATCATATTTGAGATTATTTATCACTTTTTTAATTGATGGAATGAAATAAAATAGAATGATATGATATAAAATGAAGTGATATTAACATCAGTTAAATTTGGATGGAGCGTACTAAAATAAAGTGATATAGATTTTATTTTATTTTATCACTTATGATCATATTTTTTTCTTTTTTTGATTTATGCAGAAATAATAGTTAAATCATAAAATACTAAAATCGAATATAATTTTCATTTCGCTCTATTCTCATTTTCATTCTTCATAAACTCAATATGTATTAATTTTAAAGAATATATATTTTCTTCTCAACAAAGCCATAATTCATTCCGTTTATTGAAAAGGTTTGGAGTTCTTTGGAAGTTTCGTGGAATGCAATATTTTCTTTCAAAGAAAAGTTTAAGCTCCTAAAAGGAGAGTTGAGAGTTTGGAACAAGGATGTGTTCTGTTAATTATATTTGGGAGTGGAGGAGGCGATTAAAGAGTTGAATGCATTGAACTTTGAGGTTGCTAATAAGGGTTCAATGGATGTAGATGTTATGACTCTTAAAAGGGCTTCAACTTCAAATAGAGTGTGACAATATATTATCGTCAAAGAGAGCATGCTTAGGCATAAGGCTAAGCAAAAGTGGCTTGTGGAAGGGGATTCAAATTCCAAAAAAATTCACAAAGCTACGAAACAAAGGTTTAGGAGGAACAGTTTATTGGGCCTTATTTCAGATGATGGTTGGATGGATAATGTCTATTATGTGAAGAGGGAGGTCAAAAGGCACTTCGTAGAGAGGTTTCAGCAGTCGTTTGCTAGAAGGCATTCCTTGTCTGGTTTTCCTTTTCAGATGTTGGAAGAGGGTGATAGATTTTTTCTTGAAGTGTTGTTTCTTTTAGAGGACCTTAAGACGGTAGTATGGGAAGGAGTTGGGGATAAAAGTCTCGGGTCGGATGGTTTCAACTTGAGTTTTTGTAAGGCTTGTTGGAACATTGTGAAGGGTGATCTTATGAAAGTAGTGGATGAGTTCCATTAATCTTCTAGAGTTATGAAACGATCACTGCGTCTTTTATTGCTTTGATCCCTAAAGTTGATAATCTTATTGCTCTTGATGAGTTTAGGCCTATTTGCTTAGTGGGAAGCGTGTACAAGATTTTTGCTAAGCTTCTTGCGGATAGATTGAAATTAGTGATTCACAAGCTTATTTCTAATGTCAAATTGCTTTTGTTGCTAATAGGCAATTGTTAAATGGTGTATTGGTTTTGAATGAGGTCGTGGATTTTTCCAAGAGAGTGAAAAGGAAGTGTATGTTAGTTAAAGTGGACTTTGAAAAAACTTATGATTGTGTCTTTTGGGATTTTCTTAGGAGTATGTTGAGAAGGATGGGTTTTGGTAATAGGTGGTGTGGATGGATGAAAGCATTAATGTTTAATAGTTCCATGTCCATTCTTGTGAATGAGAGCCCAACGAATGATTTCAAGGTTACTAGAGGGCTTAGGAAAGGAAATCCTCTTGCACCCTTCCAATTTCTATTAGTGATAGAGGGATTTTCTAGTTTATTGTTCCAAGCAGTTTCTTTAGGGGAATTTGAGGCTTTTCATTTCAATGTTTCTACTCATGTTGAATTGTTACAATTTGTGAATGACACTATTTTGATCAGAGAAGGCTCTTGGAAGAAATTATGGTCCATAAAATCTTTACTTAGAGGGTTTAAGTTAGTGTCGGGTCTTTGGGTGAATTTAACAAAAAGTAAATTATTTGGTATTAATCTTGATGTCGATTTCTTGCAGGAAACTGCATCATTCTTGTCTTACAGTTTTGGTTCGATCCCTTTTGTATTTATGGGATTCCCATTGGTATTAACCCTCAGAGGAAGGCATATTGGGTACCTATTGTTTCCAAAATTAGAAAAAAGGTTGGCGTTGTGGTATAATAGATTTTTATTTATTGGAGGTATGGTGGTTCTTTTGAATTATGTTTTATCCAACATTCCCATCTTTTTCTTCTCTTTTTATAAGGCTCCTAAGGTGGTTCTAAAAGAGATTATTAAGCTCCAAAGAACATTCTTATGGGGTGGGTGTGAAGAATCTAAAAAGGTGAATTAGGTAAGTTGGGATTCTATTTTCTTATCCAAGGAGGATGGTGGTTTAAGGGTGAAACATAATGGTTTTTTTAATCTTGCTTTGTTAAGCAAGTGGAAGTGGCGGGTTCTAAATAATGATTCTTTTTTGTAGTCTGAGATTATTTCTTTCGGGTATGGCAGTGTGAAATTGGCGGTCTTAGGTGGTCCTCGTGGGAGTAGGAAAACGTCTTTGTGGTGAAGAGATGTGTGTGCTATTGGGGAACCCTTGAATAACGATTTGTTTACATTCTAATTGGTTTTCTTCTTCTATTTCTTGTAAGCTTGGTAACGGGAGGATTTTAGACTTTTGGAGACATACTTGGCTTGGATCTTCCTCTTTTGATGTTTTATTCCCTTCTTTATTTCGACTTTATGGTTTGAGTTGTCTCAAAGTTTGTGATTTCAGGGTTTGGATCAACGATACTTGGAAATGGGATATTGGTCTTAATGGGGTGGATTTGAGTGTTGAGGAAGAATCGTCATTAGAGGATTTAATGAAACGTTTGCTTGATGTGAGGCCTATTGAAATTGTTATAGACCGCTTTGTGTGGTGGAGGGATAAAAATGCTTTCTCGATTAAAGTGAGTTATAAGACGACCTTTGAAGCTAGCGTTGTGGTGCCTTGGTTAGATCCTTTGAAGGCAAATTCTTTAGCTCGTTTATGGAAATCTAAAGTTCGAAGTAAGGTTCATATTTTTGGGTGTCGTTTACTTCATAACAAGTTGCCCACGAGGATGGGGTTGGAAAAGCGTGGCATTATTGAAGGTGCTCACAATGTGGTTTTCCCTTTTTGCTTTTTGGAAGAAGAGGATGTTGAGCATTTATTTGGCTCATGCCCTTTTTCTAATTATATTTAACCTACGCTTTGCGTGTGGATTGGAGTAAGCGATGCTTTCTCTATGGGTTCTTTGTTGGATAGGCTCCAAGGTCTTAATTCCACTATTTCTTTTTGGTTTTTTGGTCTTGTTTTTTGTTGGTGTAACACCCCCTTCTATACCCCAAATAAATGCATATAAAACAATTAAGCACATACAAGTTATTAGAGTAAAAAGGTTTTATGATCAGGTATAAAAGAAGAATGCCACAATTTCACCAATAAAACACTTTCACAATTTGCTCCATAAAATATGTAACATTTTCAATTTAAGCGGAAGATAAAATCATTTAATCAGTTCCAAATATTAATTCACGTACACATAAGCTATCCAATTTAATATATATCATATCAGTTAGATTACAAAATCACATCAGCTGATACACCGCAATGTATCACAAAAGACTGACTATACTAGTCTAACTACCCGGTGTTACATATCAGAGCAGTAGACTCAAAAGAATGAAGACTATTCTTCACAAAAGGACTCCAGCATCCTAATCTGCAATGCCTCATAGAGCATTATAAAACAGCAGAAGGGTGAGAAATATAACCATAATAATCAAAGCATAAGATTATATATATATAGGTAATCATATAACACATATTCACATTTCTCACCACACTTCATTCTCTTAGTCATATATATTACCACACATGTATATATACAAACATGAATATCCACAAGCCTTTCCACATTATGTATACACTTACAATTTCCACAATCTCATCATCCACACAT